TATATATATATATATATATATATATATATATATACATACATATACATATTATTGAATCTTGACTTGTACAATGCCATAACCATAATAATACCAGTAATGTTTTTTTTTGATCAGTTTTTCTTTTCTGTTAACAGCCTGCACATTTTTAACAAACATTAACGTCCCAAAAAAGAAAATGATTCCATCTTTGTTTTTTTCTTTTTTTTTGGCAATAAAAGTTTTTTCTTTATCTAAAAAAATAGAATGTGGTGTGTTAAAAATGAAAACACATTTTCTTTTTTTTTTCTTTCTTTCTTTTATAGTGTCCTGTCTTGCAATAAGAATAATTGTCTTGATGTCAAAAAGAGCACAACAGATTTTACTTTCACAAGTGGAGCAGTACAGCTATCGCCATAGTGTTCCGCTTGATTTATGCGTATAAATTGCTTAATTATAATTCATGCAGGGAGTTTTACAGATTATTTGGACCCTGCAATGTAAGAAGAACAGGAAAGGAAAAATGGGAAAAAGGAGAAAAAATTTAAGAAAGAGGAGATAAAAGGGAGATAACAATAAAACAGCTTCAGTTTGCTTCATTACCTGCAAAGAGATGTAAAAAGAACAGCACAACTAACGGACATGGTACAAGACATACAATAAAGTAACACCTAGATACTATCGCTGAAGTATAAGTAGTTATATTTTCTGAAGTAGGTATTTATACAAAATTTTGTCTCCTTTCTCTAAAAACCTATAACACTTGCAGCTCTAAATATGTTTTCTTAAGTCGGACTGAGGGCAAGAATGTTTCTTTGGATCCTCATTTGGATCCTTCAGACCATTTGTCACGCTTGTTTCATTAGAGAGTCCTTTGCATGACATCCAAATAAGAAACGTTAACAAACGCTGCTGCCCCCCCAGCAAGACAAAGACCCTTGCCATATGGTCAGAGCTTCAGTGATGATTCATTAGAGTGGTCCAGTCAAAGTTCAGACATAAATCCAATAAAGAATCTGCACAGAGACTGAATAGTTTGAACGAAGATAACCTGCATGCAGTAAAACTGAGCCTCAGCTGATTCATTAAGCAGGCGAAAATCTTGGTGTCTTGCAACTAAAGCTGACTTCATAAATAAACTAAATAGCCTTGGTATTTAATGAAGAAAATGAGGTATAATTTTCTAAACAAATGGCTCTGGAGTTGGGAAGTAACTAGTTTTTTGGATATTGTGAACTAAATTTGCAAGAGTCGGCACACTTTTTTCTCTCAGAGGTCCTATCGCCAAAAATATTTTCACCATACTGAGACAAGTCGGATAAGTTACCCGTCTGCGAAAAAAAAAGTAGGCTTTTCAAGCTGAGCTCTACTGCGTGGGCTGGCTTTTGTGGTTCTGTTGAAAAGGATAAATTTGCCCAGTAAATCAAAGATTGTGGTCAACCCCAACCTACAGGAGAAAATGGAGCTATTGAAAGTAGGAAATACTTCTTCTGGTTTATCAAAGGTCAGCCAGGTCAGGTTTACTACTCGATGTGCTAAACTTAGTGAAATATATGCACTCATGGAGGGATATCTGTTTTAAGTAACTCTATCTGATCATGAATATTCATATCTCCCTAAATACCCAAACTAAAGTCAATCGTCCGTTTTTGCTCTCCACTGTCATCCAGTAATGATTTTTCTGGTGCTTTAATCTCAGTGTTTTCTAAGAAAGAGAAAAGGCTGTTCAAAGGCTCCAGTATTCAGTTGTGCGCCTTTGCTCTGAGGCAGCACCACACCCATGGAAGCGTGCCCAGGAAAGTCTCCGACTTGTTTCCAGTGAAGCTGCGTAGGCGTGGGTCAAAAAGCCGGCCAAAAAATACTGTTGAGGAGATCGGCCAATTGAAGTTCCCGGAATGACATCTAAAAGGCTCCCTTAATGTTCCACCACCACAAATCAGAGGCTGATCAATTGGGACCAATGGTGAATTAGTCGTCTTCTGACGTCCGGGTTGCTCCAGAATCAGCACTTGTAGAACGGTGGGTGATGACATGCTGAGGGTGAAGTCAAATCAAAGACAGCATTAGTGGTCTGCCATGATGTTAGCAGCAGCCAAACCAAGGTCTCACATGTTGTGCCAGCTGGAGCACAAACCTGTCCTGATGCATCAGGTTACAACCTCCTATATAATGTTGGTTTCCCAGGCAGGAAGACGATAACAATGCTGAGTCTTTGGAGAGGAAACTATAGGAATTCTTTAATAAATGCCATCCTGTAAGTTTAACTCAGCACATATTTGCTGAGTGCAGTGGTTGTGGTTATCTAACTACCTGCTCTTATACACATACACGCTACTGTTTTCTCTTAGGAAGGCTGCCTGATGAACCGAATGGTTTCCAGATGTGAATTTGTCAGGGTAACCATCAATAATCTAAAAATGTAAGGGTAGTAAAAATGCATGTATAAAAAAATCCATTACAGTACTCGGAAAAGCATTAAATTTCATTACACCTTGGGTTTTAATATCACTAAATCCCCCAAAAACAGGACATATCTCGAAGATTTTATAAAATAGAACTAAGAAAATAACGATATGTTGTTTTCAACATTGTCTACCAATACCTGTAGTAAATATTTGTCCAGCCATCGCACTCTTTAGGGTCTCCAACTTTCCAAGTATCAATCAGATTGGTTGGAGACCATCTATAAGCAGTGTTAATCACTCTTAGATGAAATCTTTTTATTTTAATTAAAGCTTTTGATTTGTATTTTGATCTAGACTTTGACTGGGCCTTTTTAAAATATTAATTCTCTTGTGTTTTGCAGCCTCTGTCCAGTTTTTGTTTTATTTATCGTCCCTTTCGGCTCTGAGCACTAAAAGATTACCAACTGCTTACCTTGCCTTTCATCACTTTTTCAGATTTCTGTGATGATAAAGGGATTTTTCATACCTCTGAAATGTAGTTCCCAAAAATATTTTGACTTAGTTAGACATAGGACAGGACTGAATGCTTGGTTTTTGTATTTCTTGATACAAATGTTAACAGTTCTCAGCATCTGTTCTTTTTAAATGTCACTTTTTCTTATTTTCTCCATCTGAGGGGAAATTATATTCCGTTGAAACACAAAAGGCGCCACTGGCAGGCAAATATTGTACCAAACCAGACGATTTAATGAATAAAAACACACTTTAAGCAGACTTGTGGGCAAACTGAGTTTATTTGTCTGTCAAAGTGAATGCACATAGAAGCAGACAATGATCTGTGTTTTTTATTTGCCTTCAGTCTAATGCATGCCTGGCGTGCATGTGGTAATCTTTAAAACCAGTGCCGCTGAGAACATAAATCTTCTCTGGCTTGTCTGCACTGAGCGACATTTTCCAAACACAAAATCTTTCCAAGTCCAGTGAAATTCTCTTCTGTTTCGTTTGTCTTTTGTAGCCAGTCTATTATGGTGTCCCGTTAATCATAGGAACCTTGTAGGAACTGTAAATAGAGCTGCTCACACTGGATTCCTTCATAGCTCTTCACTCAGCAGCCCTCTATGTAGCACAATGCTGGAAAGCCTGCATTCAAATCAAAGTTCAGCTGTTTAGGAATGTGGATCTATGGCTGGCACTGACCTCAGATACTTTGTGGGCAAAGGAGTGAGATCTTAGAGGAAAGGGGATGTCTGTGCACAATTAGTCGGAACAAAGCTGTGGTTGTTCGGCCTTACTCAGAAAAAAATAAAAGACCTTTGAACAGATAAGGATTTTAGAAAGTTTCATTGTACAGTATGTGTGGAACTGCTGCTTTTGCAAAATTAAACCTGTATCTGTAACATTTTGATGCCAGTTTCAGAAATTAAGAAATTATATATGGGTGGTCTGAAATATGACCTTGTGGTTACATGTTTTCCCCCAGCACTTGAATCCTGTGCCACACAATGTAAATCTTTCCAACATCTATATGACCCACAGGAATTGTCAACAGTTCCCAGATCTTGGTGGATAAGTCACTTCAAGTTTCTTTTCTGTTCAACCAGCTCCTGTACCCAGTCCTGCCAAGCATTCTGGACTGCAATCCTTTCAGGGAGAGTCCTGGTGACGGCGGGATACACATCCCTGTGGAGATCAGGCAGGTGGTGGAGGTTCTGAACGACAGCTGGAGGCTGCTTCTAGACTGTCAGGTCCATCCAGAGGTTTCCTCTCAGCTCGTTGGCTACCTCTTCTACTTCATAAATGCTTCACTCTTCAACTCACTCATGGAGAGAGGTAGTAATATTATACACTTAAAACACCAGCAAAAACACATATTAGACACCAGCATTAACACTAATGGACCACCAGCATCAACATCTATGATAAACCGTCAACAGCACATCTGAATTCAGCAAACTGAATTCAGAGGCTGCACATCATTGAAAAAAAAACACCAGCATCAATAAAGAATTGTCATTAACATATAAAATGCTATCATCAACATTTACAAAGAGAATGGCATTAACAAAACAATGTCATCAACCAATAAAAACACCTGAATTAATACATATAAAACATTGACATTCACACAATAAAACACTCATCAACACATGTAGAACATTGTCATCGAAACACGTAAAACACTTGCATCGCCACGTAAGTAGGCTAGCAAAAGCTAGCATCGACAAAACACTGTCCACCAAATTACATCAGGGCGACTGTAGCGTCAGATAAAGGAGTTTGCCCTGCAACTGGAGGGTTGTCAGTTCAAATCCCGGGTCTGCCTTACAATGTCGTTGTGTCCTTGTGCAAAACACTTCACCTACATTGTCTACTGATGGCGGTCATAGGAACCGGTGGCACCTGCGTACTTCAGCCTCGCTTTGGTCAGAGAGCCTCAGGGCAGCTTTGGCTACAATGTTTTTTGCCACAATCAGTGTGTAAAGGGATGCCTACATTTACACTAGTGCTTCACCAATTCACTCACACACTTGGTCAAGTAAGTCCTATCCCACCTGAAAAAGCGCTACATAAGTACAGGCCATTTACCATTTACCAATAACATGTATAAAATGCTACGTCAACACATAAAACACTGACATTAACAAAACACTGTAATCAACAGTCATAAACACATATATACCACTGGAATCAGCAGAACACTGTCATAGACACATATAAAACACTTTCGTCACCATGTAAAATAGCTGCCATTGATACCAGAGCATGTGAATGGAGCGGAGCGCCACGCAATTCCCGCTCCCCGCCCAGGAGGATGTTTGCTCATTCGCTCCGCCACTCAAAGTTGCGCCAGGACTCTTCACTCAAAATCCGCTTTGCGTTCACTTTAATTTTCGTGCTGGCAGAAGCAGAGAAGGCAGATATTTTTTCCTTCATTTAATTATGCCAGGGCCCTGGGACATGTAGCGTTTGATTTAGTGATATGGCCGATAGATGTGTATTGTCTTATTTAACTGGCTGTTAAATTATTGCACTGTTTCCCAGCTGTGGACGTAACACCTCGATCCATTCATGTTGACCCACGTTTCCTATTTAATTATCAATTTCTTTTACTAGGCTACATAAAAAAAGGTCACATCCCATTGCAAATGACATAATTGCGTATAATGCATGTATGTGATCCATTTTCATAAACAGGCTCTTACCACAATGATCACTTTATGTAAACCCACTCTGTATTGTTAAGTATAGTTAGTGTATGTTTTTATTATATTTTATTCCACAATATGCAAACCTCGTGAGGCAGATTCCATGGTAAAGTTGAAACATAGACTATATCAGATTATAGGCACAGACTAGAGCATAGGCATTGGCGTCATAGGCATCGGAGTTAACTGGAGCTGAGTGAAATCCTCGCTCCTGCCTTTGAATTGAAAACCACTCTGCGCTCCACCATATTTCTTCCGCTCCGTTTTCATGCTCTGGAATTCAAAAAACACTGTAAATAACATGTATAACACACTTTCATCAACACATATACAACACTGGCATTGACAACACACTGTTATCGACAGATGTATGCATCAATGCATGTGAATCACTGGAATCTGCCATTGACACATAAAACACAGGCATTAACATGGAAAGAGACCTGGCATTGACAAAACACTGTCAATAACATGTATAAAACGCTATCATCAACACATAAAACCCGGGATTAGAACAATGTCAGTGCCTTACACATGCATCAACATTTATACCACTGAAATCTGCAAAACACTGTCAGTGACACATATATAAAACACTAGCATTAACATACCGGTACACTGATCAAACACTCATACTGGCATTAAGACATATTAAATGCACTGTCAACACATATAAAACACTGTCATTAACACATATAAAACGCTGTCTTTGGCACATAAAAACACGTTCATAAACACCTATAAAACAATGTTATCATCATAAATCACTGGCATTTTTACCTATAAAACACTGTGACCAACATACGTATATGAAACACTGGCCTCAACACCTATAAATCATTACCTTATGTCATTATCACACGTTAAAAACCGTCATCAACACATAAAAAATGCTGTCATCAACATACGAAACAATGGCGTCATCACCTATAAAACAATACGGTTACTCCTCTCGAGTTAGTTAAGGCTCAATGTTGTTTTGGTTTTAACAGACATTTATCGCTGAAGTCTTTACATGTCTTAGAAACAGCCCTCATAAAACCGTCAGAACTAAGAAGGGAAACAGAAACCCAAATTAGCTCAAAACACATATAAAGGTTTACAGAAATAAAGACAAGTAACAATAAAGTTGTACCTCATTTCCCACATAAACTCAAGAGAAATAAAGATTATTCATACAGCTTTTCTCAAACAAAAATAATCTTAATGTTTTCTGGAGAAACCACTTGGAAAACAATCCCAGTAATGCTTATAATTGTGTCAATCAATCTTTCCATTGGGCAAAAACATGACATGCAGAACATAACATAGGTTCTTCCTTACATTTTAATGAGCTTTTTAACCAAACTACATGAACATGAACAGCATGAATTTACTGAAAGTTATTTATTGATTTATAACTGAATGTTTTATTTTAATACTAGTATGTATGAAGTCTCGTTTTTAAGTAAATATTAAAATAATTAAATGAGTTGGCCCAGGTGGCAGCTACTATTATAAACGTATAAAACACCATAATCTAGAAAATAAACGTAAACCTATTAAAATCACTGGCATTAACATGTTATGAACGCAGATAAAAAAACAGTCATCAGCATGAATAAAACAGTTACCAATATGTGTAAAGCATTTACATTAACATATATAAGACAATTCAATTGAGTTTATTTATACAGCACCAATTCACAACACGTCATCTCAAGGCACTTCACAGAAACAATTCAACCAGATCATCCAGTCAAATTCATCCAAAGCTCCCCATCCAAGGAAAACCAGTTGATTGCATCGACTCATTGACTCAGAGGCAATCCCTACCACCAAACATGCCTACGGCGACAGTTGAGAGGAAAAACTCCCTTCCAACAGGAAGAAACATCCAGCAGAACCCGGCTCAGTGTGAACGACCATCCTCCGAGGCACGACTGGGGTACAAGGAGACAGAAGCAGACACACAGAAAGAGGCAGAGACACAAAGGAACTTGTCAACCAGCTCCACTGGCGGCCCCCGTCCAGGAAACAGACAGCCAGGCAAACGAGCTCAGAGCCAGCTCCCATGCCAGAGGACAAAGAGAACACATCCAGCCAGTCACAGGGAAACAGGACTACACTGAAAAACAGGCCAAGCTTAGACATCTACAAACAAAGGTGTTGATGGCAGCAGCACAGCAGATACCCCTCTCCAGGACCTACAGCCAAACAGGAACAGGCCAGATGAAGCCACCATTAGAAAAAGCAGAGAAGCCAAAAAGCCAGAGACTGAACCAACAAATACTGCAGAGTGGGAGAACAGGGATAGAATGAAGCAGAATAATGAAAAAGGGGTCCCCATGTCCTCCAGCAGTCCAAGCCCACAGCAGCACAACCATAGTAACAACACTGGACAACCTGAGCCACTCTAACCATAAGCTTTATCAAAAAGGAAAACACTATCAACAAAACACATAAAACACTTGCAGCTCCTGTACCCAGGATGGGTAAAAGATACTATCATCAGCATGATAAAAAAAAAAGCATCAATACGCACAAAAAACACTGTCATCAATTCTTTATCCATACTGTATGATATAATACACTAAACATATCTTGCCAAATTGATAATTACAAAAAACAGCAAATAGAAAACATCAAGGACTATCTGAGCTTTAGTCTTCAGAGAAACTAGTTTGTTTATCTACATAAAAAAATGATCAGACAATTATTTATGTTGGTGAAAATCCTAAGTAGTAATAACCTCTGTGTATATTGCACTGGAAATGAACTTTTAAACTTAATCAACTAAATGAAAGCTTATATATTAAAATAACATATTCAAACCAATTGTCTGGTTGAATTTGATTCTTTTGATATTGAATTCATGTCCACAAAACCTCCGAATTTTTGCACAACTTTCAGAGCTACAGTGTTTACCATTGCCGTGCTCCCTATGAGCATGCAAGAACAATACAATCTTTTTAACTTCACAAGTACTACAAGAAATCTTACTTTCAACAAAATTTCTTTTTACATCATTATTCTAATTGCTGGCCTGTATAATGACCCTAATAGATTAAAAATACAACCTGCCTCTAACCTGCTTTCTCTTTATGTCTTCTTCCTAGGCTCAGAACCAGGTTTTTACCAGTGGTCTAGAGGCGTGCGAATGCGGGCCAACCTTGACCTGGTTCTGGACTGGGCCCACACAGCTGGACTCGGAGAACTGGCCTTGGAGCAAACACACACTCTCTCATCAGCTGTCAACCTGCTGGCTACACCAAGAAAGAATTTACTGCAGGTGAAGTCAAATCGCACACATCTCATACCCTTTGGAGTTATGGTTGCCTCCTTTTGTGTGAGAAATATGGAAAAATGGAACATTAATCTAGTCTTAAGGAGGGATAACGATACTGACATCTGCCCCGATCTTCTCCTTCCAAGCGGGGCCAGTGATCAGGAAGATAATGTCATGTGTGGTGTGTTAAAAACTGATCAGGTCTGCTAGGAAAAATGTTGGTACCCCTTCCATTACTAGTTTTGGGAAACCCAACATCTTTGATGGTGTCAAATAGAGTATATTATATTTAAATTCTGCTTTGTTATCCAGAGGAGATCAACTGAAGCTTTGCACACATGTGACTCATTTTCAAAGGGGAAACAGAGGGAGGTAACTTTTCTGGTTATATAGCTGCAGGCAGGGCTTACTGCTGAGCCGGTCTGTCAGTGCTTTGAAGGAGGGAGCGGCTCACAGCAGCAGCAGCTGACTCAGAGCAACCAGCGTCTTCACTAATTTAGTGATTTTGTTTCTAAAGTTGCTTTTCATAAACCTTCAGCAACTTACTTTTTAAAAAAAGAAACTTGCTTGTTTTGCTAAAGACTTCAGTGTAAAGGACCGAAATCTTTTCTGAGCTGTTTGCTTTTGGTGTGCTTTAACCACTGACCAGAGGTGCCAAGTAAAAAAATACAAATACTTTGTTACTTTACTCAAGTAGAAATGTTGTCCATAAAAAATAAATAAATAATAAAAAAAAAATATATATATATATATATATATATACTGTATATATATATATACACAAGTATATGCACACACTGAAATAACCTGTGAAACGTCTTCCGCTGGGAAGACGTTTCACAGGTTGCAAAAACAAGCGGAAACCGCTTGTTTTTGCAGCCAAATGCTACACATGCAGGCATTTTTACAGCGCGTCTCTGTGGGAGTGGGGAGTACCAGCATGACGGATGGTGGCTTCACTTTTTTCGGGCAATCAGCAATCCAGTGAATAAATAGAGATCAGTGCAATTGTCTTTCTGCCCTATATTCTTTCTCTAACACTGGTGGCGCTTTGGGTGAGATCTTTATAAGTGTCAAGGTAAGGGCAATGTGGGGAGGTCACATGTTTTTTTTACTTTGTGTAGCGACCATCAAATTGCCTCTAATTCTCTTGGCTACTGGATGCAGGAAATTAGCGAAATTAACTAAAGTGCTCAAAAGGCAATGTCCAGAGTAGGAGATAAGATTTGGAATGCTCTTTGTGTATATAATGATTTGCTTCATTATATCCACATATCTATCAATATTACCATTTCCTTTGCAGGCTGCCATAGACCGCCACCCATCATTTGATGGTTGCTACAAGTAGGATATGCACTTCTACTTGAGTAATAAACATTTTTTTTTGTAATTTAAGTTTTTTTATTTAAACAATCAAAAAACTATGGTACAAAGGTTACATGTTATAATATGCAGGAAATAAAAGCTTACAACACACGGTCAGACAATTAAGGTAAAAATAAAAGGTGCTCCTGGATGATGAGGGGGAAAAACAGGATATGAAATATATGCGTCTCATACGAACATGTATTTTAACATAAAATATTATAATGCTCACATTCCTGCCAGTCTTATTTGAGTAATAAACATCAATACGTTTAACACCTCTGCCAATGGCCAAAAGCAAAACACAAATATATTTCAGTCAAGAGATATTTAATGATACCTTTTAAATCTGTAAAAGGCCTTTAAAACCCAAGATTTTCAGTGGAAAAGGTTGCATTTGCATTGTCAGGACAAAGATGTAGAAAAATGTAGAAAAACTGTTCTTCTTTATTCTGTCTGGATGAATAGATGACATGGGCCTCTTTGCGCTCTGACTACCCGGCCCTGACTCCAGCCCAGCTGAACCACCTGCTGAGTTTGTACAGCCCGGCCTCTCCCTGCACACAGACATGGGCTCCAATGGCACAGGATCGAGCAGCAGCGTGCACAACAGGTGAAGTCTTCCTACCATGAAAGATTAAAATCTGGGTCATTATTTAAAGCAATGTTTAACAGTAATCAGTTATCTCTTCCCTTAGCTGGTATCCTGGAGAGTTTTGATACCCACCATCCTTTGGAGCTTCCTGACGAAGGCTACCAGCTTCAGCTCAGACGGCCTGTGACAGACCCAGCTCTGAGGGAACAACTTCACAAGTTCAAAGGGTTTATTACAATGCTGTCTGACTCCCACAGAAATGCATCAGATGCTAGAAACAACCAGGTTATAAAATATTTATTTGCTCCTTTTTATTTGTGTCTGCCTTGTGGTGTGAGCAAATGCAGGCATGAATGTCTGCTCTGTTTGTCTTTTCTGAGGTCTCTGATAAGCTGCCAATTAGTTCCAAGAGTGTCACTAGTTTTGGCCACTTTGCTGAATTAGTCTTAACCCCTTAAAGTGATTTTCCTGCTTTTCAAATTGAGTCTAATACAGGTAAATAATTTTTCAACTCTTAAAGCAACAGCGGAACATCTCTTAGTTTGCCGTCACAGGTCGTTTTGTTGCCAGGTATGTTGGCGTACTGAAAAAGACTGTGTTAAATGGGTCGTAATTTAAATAAACCGAGCAAATTCTGTGTAAAATAAAATCCTGTCATTTCTTTAAAAAGTTTATTTACCTTTTCATGTAGTCGCTTTATATTTTGTATAAAACGTGTAATTGGATGAAAGACAAAGAAGTTAGTAGCTGCGTTTCTTTTACAAATGTGCACAAAACTATGTTGATATTCTGCAAATTTTTGCGATTGGGGTTTTTCCAATAAATAAGAAATACAAAAAAAATTGCTTGCAAATATGTTTGTTCATGAGATAACTCTTGAAAACAACATGTCAACAGCAAATTTAAACACGATATATCCATATTTCAAGCACGGATCTAGAGCTCATCGAACTCGTCGTAGTTAGGGCATTGTGCTTTGAATCCAGAGGTTCTGAGTTCAAGTCCCACTCCCACAGACTGCAACCGTGGGTCCCTGAGCAAAGAGCCTTAACCCCACAGTGCTCCCGGGCGCCACAAAATGGCAGCCCACTGCTCCCAAAGGGAATGGGTTAAATGCAGAGAGTTCATTTCGCTGCTCCTTCCTTGTGACAATGTAATGACCATGAAAGCTAGAAAAAAATGAAAAGATTTGTCAGATTTAAGGAAAAAAAAAAAAAAAAAAATATACCGGTATATATATATATATATATATATATGCAGTGCCATCACCCTCCAACTACCCCCAGACTTCATCAGTAAGGTCCAGTTGCAGATCATGTAACTTGTGTTTCCACTGCATTTTGGCGGAATATAATAAAATTGGGTGCGACTCCAAAAACCCACCCCATTTAACCATTTAAACATAAAAAAAATGTATGATCAGACGTGACTTTTGGCAGTGTTTACATTTGGCCAATTTCTTTTTTTCTGAATTGTTATTTGAGCAATTTGATGGTTAATGGAAATGCACATAAGGTTCTACGCTACAGCATCAGGACAGGTTTTAATGTTTTGATAGTGTTATAAACAACCTAAGAATCAACAATTATTACTTGATGAGGTCCAATAAGCTGAATTGTTGTGAATTAGCTGAATTAACCAGAAAACGGGTCAGGTTGCTGTCAGTTGGAGCAGCTTAAAGGTATAGTGGAGGATGTTCTTTTTCCGGAGGGATCATCAAAATAAGTGGTCCTCCTATTTGTCAATCATTCTGGTGATATGTTTACTTAAGGCCGTCCTATGTGCTCGTCACCATTTTTACGTGCCAGATGTTCAGCTGGAGGTTTCCTCCTGTTAAGAGGGACTTCTCCTTTCCACTGTCACTACAAGAATGCTTAGTGTGAGGGATGCAATTACCTCGTTTTCCTTGGATAGAATAGACTGAATCAATTTGACTGTATCATCTGGTGAACTGTAAAGTGCCTTGAGATGACGTGTTGTGAATTGGCGCTATAGAAATAAACTGAATTGAATTGAGTCTGACATTGTGGAGAAATTGCAAATCTTCTGTTGGAAAGTACGCTTGTATGATGGATGCAAACAGCAACTTTTAAACCGAGCATGCACGAAGAGAAATGGGTTTGTGCATCCTCTCGCACGTGTTGTGCATGTGCCTTTTTTTTTTATTAGAGACGGTGAGTCTTTTCAGAATTTGAAATAATCCTCCTTTATACCTTTAAGTTATTCAACAGGTTTGGGTCTATCTCAGTGAATCTTCATCTGTACAGTTGCATTGTCTGTTTATTGTAGAATTATTTCAATTACTGCAATTATTGTCCTTGTTGCATAATTTGCAGTGTATTTAGTTAAATCTTTTAGCAACAGTTGATATGCATAAAAAATATGATGCTATTGCTTTTTCAGACAAAGAGGAAAACTGATAATAGAAAAGTTTCTTAGTCTGCTCTGCTTGCATTGCATTATGTCTTAGCCTGTAGGGCAAAAGTGCAAATGGCGGGCATCTGATAGACTTAATGTGTATTGTTGTTCTTCCATGTATTCAGTGCAATCTGCTACCTGAATTGAAGGGAAAAATAAAGCAAGTCCACAAGGGATGTTTTATGAGTTAAAGGGTTGAAGGAAGTTAAGTTATGCAGAGCGAAAACTTTGCTTTGCTGAGTAGCTGTCACACTAAAGCAAGCTGTTCTGTTGGTTGTTGCCATACAGATGAAAGAAGCTCAGGATGGCAGCGACAAAAGGGCCAATGTCGAAGCCTTAAATTCAGCGAGGGATGATGAGATTCTGTCTCAGGTGTTACCTTCATCCCCCTCCTTTCTTTACCAAGATGAACTAAACACTGGCGGGGAAACTTTGGCAGCTCAAGAGCGAACAAATCCAAAGCTGATAGAGACCAGCGAGTCAAAGAGGTCATCTCTGGAACATCCTTCTCTGGTCACCCCACCCCAAACACCACACACAGCAGAGATGATTAAAGCCCACAGTGAAACATTCCCCCCATCCTCCCACTCGGACTGTGAAGGTGAAGTAACTCCTCTTCGAATATGTGCTTATCTGCCCACCTTGTGTTGATAAATGTATGTTTTGTTGACCTTTTCCTTAGGTGGCTTGGTGTCTGAATGTCTGGCTGCACTGAATACAGACCATTTAAAACCAGACTGCAGACTTGTGGGGCTTAAAGAGGAGGAAGAGGAGTATGAAGAAGAGGAAACAGATGATAATGATGAGGTCTTCAGTTTGGAGCTGGAGAAAGGGGAGAGGGGACTCGGCCTTGCTTTGGTGGATACAACGGTCAGTAAAGTTAATTTAATTCACTTTAAATAGCATAAACCTCCAAAAATAACGTTATTTAAATCTAACACATGAATTATGTTCACAAAAAGGAAAATATTTAAAATCATTAAATCTGAGCGAGTCTCTATCAGTATACAACATTTTCAGTCATTTTTAAAATGAAGGCCACTAGTGCAAAGAAACAAAACACTTAAAAACCAGTCAAATGTGTAAAATAGCCATATGTACCTAATGGTTCGCATGACTTTTGCTTTTCCACAGCATGACATTAATATGCAGTTAAATTAAAACCACAGAATATTTGCCACATAATGTTATAGAATAAGCATCAACTTTATTGGCCACGTTTGTGTCAACTTGTGAGAAGTCGAACAGTTTTTTCATCACTTGCATCATAATCAACACATCAAAACAAAAAGGAAACTATGTAAAAAGGACAGAATAAAAAACGAATAATAAAACGATAAGTAAACTTTGAAAGTAACACTTATCACATGAAACTCTGGTTAGTTTCGGGCACTCTTTCTTTTTCTCCCATTTATTAAATATGAACCCTTTTTCATAAACATAGACAGGTATTGGGTATTGCAGGCTAACAAAGAACCAAAACAACTGCCCATTCCTAAGGGCCCATTCGTCAGGTTCAATTTGTATGTTTTCCAATGTGAGGGCCCTGCTGTGCTGTCGGGTGAGCATATGAACAAGAACGCAATTACCGACTCGTGTCCTCGCCAAGTATGTTCTTGACAAGAACACAGGAAAGTATTGATTTGGAGAGAACAGGAGAACGCAGCATAAATATGGGTCAGAAGGAACAGAACAGAAGCGTACTGATGACATCACCACATGCTCGGCTGGTCTTGAGCTGCAATTCACCCCCTGTTATTAATAGTCTCTAGATAATAATAAATTCTTACTTTTTTCATTTAGTGAGGGAATAATAATTAACACGGTCAGATAAACACAAATGAAATTAACATTTTGCCAAATAAAACAAAAAACTCGCCAACAGAGCCAGAGGTCCTTCACACACGGCTATGCAGAGAGACGGCTGCTGCAGAAGGACTAGGATTAGACCTGGATACCGTTAGCGTCGGAGGTCCATTGGTTGCAGCGGCCCTCTCAACATCGGAAATTCTTTTTTAAATTATGCATGAAATCGGTAAATAGGCCATATAGTGACGCCTAAAAGTATACCGGTAATGTCCTCGCCTCAAATGATCTTAAAACGTACTTTTATTGAACACCAGCAACAGAAAAGTGAACTTTTAACTTAATACTTTGAGCTCTGGGAGCGCTCTATTGGAAGCTGCTGCTGCTGCAGTGCATGCTGGGACAGCTGTCAATCTCAAGAATGGACAAGTCTGCTCTGATGCATGCTGGGTAAATAGGGAGGGAAGAGAAAAACATCCTGGTACTTTGTCCATTCTCGGTCTGTTGTTCTTTTAAATTGGAACAGTGCAAGGGCTGAGGATGATGACGTTTCACAAGTACATGAGAACACACAAGTACACAGCTTGTAAAATGACAATTGTTACTGTAGGTATAGGTTAGAATAGGCCAAGCTACTTCCTGTAACATGATATATTTTATTTAAAACAAGCTTGTTCTTCGTTGAGTGACGTTACTCATGATTTATAGAGTAGCCAGACATTTCAGTCAAGTAAAGAGAAGTGATACTTCATCATGATTTTCATCAAGGAAAACCATGACAACCTCATTAGAAATCCTGCAGTAGGTTGTATGTATATGACAGACATGTTAAGTAAAGGTAAAGGTTTTCTCTGTAAATAGGGTTGCCAACCGTCCCTTGAAAAACGGAATTGTTCCGTATTTAGAAATAGAAGCACCTGTCCCTAATTTAGTGGAAAGGAACGCACTTTGTCTCATATTACTGTGAGAGTAAAAAAATAGTAAAAAAGCTCATGGAAAATGAAGCACAGGGGCACGTTAAATACAAAACTTACCGTAAACTTGTTCCCGGGCCCTGTCCTGCATTGTGATCACTGAGCTGAAGATATATATGTAACGATCCAGAATCCCCTCATCCCATTGATCCAGCCAAGTGCTGCTCACGGAGAAGATAGCGGGAGACAACAGAGCAGTATGCGGGACGAATGGAGTAATTTAAATGCTGACGCTGCTTTGGGGGTGGCGCACCTTCGACAAATATGCTCACAAGTTTGCTGTTGCACCAAAAAGGTGCAATATTTATGTATTGTTTTATATTAATTTTTACAGTTTGAAGTTAAGCAGGACAGGCTTATGTTTAAGATAATTATTTTATTCAGCAAAGTTTGTTATTTTGTATTAAAGTAAATTGCTGGATAATAATTTGTTTTCCATGTGTTCACGTCACTCACAAATATGCATCTATAGTTTTTAATACGGTGGTTAAAAAAATAATTTCACACACAAATGGAGGCTAAAAAAATCACCACACCAGGAGGGGTATATGGAGGTGTCCCTTTTTTTCAGGGACTTGGCAACCCTATCTGTAGAAGAAAGCAAACATTTAAATGTTCTTTAATTCTGGCAAAAGCCCCATTTAGTGTTCTTATACATAAAGTTAACTAAATTAACATTTTTAACCTTATTACTGTTTTAAAATTACATCTTAAGAAATAGTTCATATTATTGCTAAGGTTAGCTGCTAGCATTCAAACAATATTCAGACTGGAGCTAGATTAATTCTTTTGATTAAAAGCTTCATACTGGCTTTAAAGTTCTACTTAAAATCACGTTTTAAATATAGAATTAATGAATTGAATAGTGGTGATATAAAACCACAGAATGTGGTACACTTTCATGGCAATTAGAAGTCAAATCAAACTCAGCATTTTATAAATCACTTGTAAATGATTAACATAGTTACTATATCTACTGCAGTTAGGATACTGACTGCTTATAAATTGTCCGTAGAGTACAATGTGAACTGTTATAGTTGCTACAGAATGACATTTGGGAATCTTAGGGTTCTTGGGGAAAGTCTGACTCGGTTTTTTTGTTCCCATCCAGAACTCATGCACAAAGGTGAGGGGCATCTTTATCCGTGCAGTGGTGCCAGACTCTCCAGCAGCCAAGTGTAAGAAGCTGGAGCCTGGAGACCGGATCCTGGCTGTCAATGGAGTCAGTCTGCTTGGCCTGGATTATGACAGGTTGGAACATTATCAAACTTAGCAGAACACTTTATATATCAAACAGAAATCAGAACGAAGGGCTTTATTTACAGTACATTTCCTTTGCCTCTGTTAGTGGAAAGGAGCTGATCCAGTCATCAGGCGCCAGACTGAGGTTACTGGTGGCCAGATCCCACCTCATGGCTGCAGCCTCGCAGACTGAATGCTGACTCTACACTTTCTAAGGGACCACTGGACCACCATTAGCTCTACACAGGAGCACTGAGAGCTTGTAGAACATTTAAGAAACGGACAGATATGTGCTATGAAAAGAGATTTTGTTTTAAATGGTGAATGTAAATAAGCAGTATTTGTGATAGTAGCGATTGCCCAATATTGTTGTCTTTACATGACACCCAATAATATGGTCTGTTTGAGAATTTGCCTTCAAAAGCTTTAGTTCAGAACACAAAATGTAGTTATAAAAAAAGCCTTAAAATATATTTATCTCTTATTACAATATAAAAGTACAGTAAACATTTCAAAAAAAGAAGATAAATCCAACCTTTAAAGTAATTTTTCCACATGAAGACAAAAAGAAATTCTGCAATAACAAATACGTATTAAAGAAAACCTTGCCATGTATGTAAATGCTACCCTTGAGTTAATAACTTGTACAACCTATTTTTTCCATTAAGACAAAAAGGAGGTATTTATTTATAAAATTGCAAAGGGTTTGAGCCCAGGAGAGAAGGATCAGTTAGAATTTACTCTTGTTGATCGATAGAAGAATTTCCCTGAAGTTCTTGTGAAGGGAACTGCTAACTTGATGGTTGACACTTCCTCCCTCTCAAGAATCTAAGGCAAGATTTTTTTCAGGTTCATTGAACTACATACACAGTGTTGGTTAAAATCATTTCGATGTTACCAAACACCAAACATTTACATCTGATATGTGGAGATAGAGCATGTCATTTCACTATTATGTGGTTGTTATGGTGACTTGATGACTCCAAGGTGCCAATTTACGCCCAAGTTCCCCAAAAAGTGAGCAACAGGGATCTTTTATCTCCCTTACTGCCATCTTCACTGTGATATTTATCATCATCCAGCTTTCATTTTCCCAGTTGCAGCTTTATAATTACTGCTCTGATTAAAAATTCTTGTATCTCTAAATTTCTTAAGACCAACATGTATCTTCTTCTCCTACATATCATGTTTTCATTTTATAAATTTTTTGGTTAATTCAAGAAAAACGGCATCTGTGACACAAACCTGAGCTGTGGATTACCAACCAAGGGTTTCTAGGAAATCTAATGTCCATTTTTGTACTTACTAGGACTGAAATTATAATCATAATAATAATGCATAATTGATTATTTAAAACAATTGTCAATTAATTTGGTTATCGAATAATGTTTAACTTGAGTATAGAGACTGTAAAGCATGCCTTTAGCTGACAGAACGACCCAATTAGGCAGTAATTCTATAAAAACTGTAAAAAAAAAATACATCAACATTTTGTGTTTAAGATAAAAATAAAAACAATTTCTCCGTCTATATGCTGTGTCCAGAAGTAAAGAGGAAAAGTTTTAGTTTCACAGAGTTTAATTTAATAAAAACTCTTCTTTAAAGAACCTTTGGCTATTCGATTACTAATAATCAACAATTAACCGATTTGCAAAATAGTCGTTAGTTACGTTCATTAGACATCAAACAGAAATTGTTCTTAGAGATTTTTCCATTGTTTTCTGTCCAATATTACATAATGAAAGATGATCTGTACCAAAAGTATTGCTGTTTGTTGCTTAACGTTATCAGGAAGGATCATCATATATTTTGGAGGTTAATTTATTTTCCATGTGGAAATTATGTACCTATTTGAAAATGTAATTAGGTTTTCTTACTTTTGGTAAAACTTCCTTCCTTTCAGGTGCCGAGCCCATCAAAAGGACGAATCTTTGCACAATAATCAACAACAAATTGTTGATTAAACACTGAGTTTTCTTCTACAGTTCAGAGGAATAAAACAATCTCTTCCTTGTCTGCTTTAGCATAACACATTGGGGAATTAAGTTCAGCTGAGGCAAATTCTTAACAGATCTTTTCCCCCCTTACCTACATAAACAGAGCAACCAGGGATCTGATCACCTGATCCTCCTCTGGTCTTCTGCTCCACCTAGTGTCTGACCAAGAATACAACACATGGAGCCAGAAAATTTAACTTGTTTTCAGTTGGGACTATGGTTGGATGTTATCTGTATAAGTAAACACTTACTCAAACATATGTAATGCACATGTTATAGGAGGCGTTTGATTTATTAGAAATAAACATACAGTAGTAGCCATTTAAAATGTACCCTCTTTCCTTGATGGGCCCTTGGCTGGTCCATGACTGGTCTAAGGCTGGTCCCCTTTAATTCCTTTTTGAAACATCAATATTTGTACTAAAATATTCTTTCTGTCATGATTTGTGGACATTAGGATCTAAAGAGAAGCATTATCTCCTTGTCAGCCCCTGTAATTCAGTGAAAGGGTGGAGTCAGAGTCAAAAAATATGCAAGGGTCACCTCAGGGGCTGGGAATTTCACTGGGAGTTGGAGGGAAGTGGGCTGCCATTCGGCTGTTTTGAATGCCTGCTACTGTATATTGAATGATATAAAGACTCCTCCCAAATTACTTATTCCTCAGTTTTTAAAGAATGCAGGAGAGCCAAACGGATACTGTTGCTCTCTCAGTGAGTTCCTGATCTGCCCTCTCAGACAAACTTCATAACAGAGGTGCCCAGTAGGTATCTGGGTCTATCCCCAAACCTCCCCATGTGACTCCCACTGGCTTTATTTTAGCCCGTCAGATGAAGCCTCTTAATTAGGAAAAAATAATAATGATAATTTCAGCAGCATCTTGGGTCAAAGATCTCATTCTCTCAGTCACAATCCATCCTAATAATTTAGTTACCATAACTATGCAGACGACATACAGCTATACATTAAAATGCTACCAGGTAAAGATGAACCAATTAAAGTGCTGGGTTAGAAGAAATCAAGGCATGGATGTGCACAAATTCCATCTGAAGTATAGTTTTCGTTCCAAAAGAAGAGTTTAAAAGTAGTTGTTGAGCCGATCCCATTTCTTTGGCCCCGATACCAATTCCCAATACCTGGCTGTGTAGTATTGGCTGATACCGATATCATACCGATACCATCTGTTTGAAATTGATGTGTGTTCGTATATATAAAGAACTGCATACTACTTGGATGTAAAATAATTGCCGTCATGGCTTTATCAAGCTGCTGCCTACCTTTGTAAAGCAGGAAAAAGACTAATACAAAGTGAATCCAGTAGAACTTTTTATTGCCTACTTGGAATGGTTGACAATAGTTTAATAAACTTTTGGCTCTCAAAATGGTATCGGTGCTCTATTTGTTGGTATTCGTCAATACCAATACCAGCATTTTAGTGCTGGATCTGGGCCCCGCCCGATACTGGTATCGGGAGGCGCCCCGGTATCGGTGCAACACTATTTAACAGTTAGCACACAGTTTTAGTTAATATGTGAAAATCACCAATCAGGCTCTAAATGCAGTGTGTAGTGATGGACTCAGACCTGAATATTCAGAGGTACATAAAGACAGCAACAATCAGCTGGAGAACATCTCTGGGTTGAAATGACTAATTACTGTGAAGGATCTCGATGATGTGTTTTTCTTGAGTCAAATCACCTAAAAAGTTGATCAGAAAGCTGCAGTTGATCCAGAACGCCGCTGCCTGCGTCCTCAGGAAAACTAAAGAGGTGGAGCACATCACTCCACTTCTAAAGTTTTTACACTGGCGTCCCATATCTCAGAGAACTGGACTTAAAATACTTCTGTTGGTCTAGAGGTAGTAAACCTTTTCTTGCTGAGCCCACCACCTTCATTCCCAAAAGAATTCAGCCACAAGAGAATGCGTATTTTCATAAAATAAGCAACTAAAATTTCCTTTAATCATAAAATTAATGCTTTATAAGGTGTAATTATTTTGCAATTTGACAGAATTTTACATTGCTATAAATATATATATAGTTTGCCTTAATCCAATCTCTAAAAGGGGGATTTATTCATTTAATTTCTAACATGCAACCCTTGCTATTAAATTATTTAAATGGAATAAAAAAATAATAAAAAAATCAGCAGTAGAAGTTTGTAGTCCCACTTTTTGTACCTGCCAAATTTGGGTTCTGCAATTTCAGTATCTTAAAAGATTTTAAGATACTGACAAACAGAATAAAGGTTTGAAAAATAAAAACAATGTGTTTTCATTTGTGATTTAGATGAATTATATGGGTAAAGAGGCAAGTTACCTAGAAATGTAAAAAAAAAAATAAAAAAAGAAAAGATAACAGGAAAAACGTTTTATTAAAAACAAATGGATTGTTCTTGAGAAGATACCAACTTCATTTTCTCATTTTATCCATTTTTGGGGGAATCCAAGAAAAATGGCATCTGTGACACAAACTTCAGAGTCATAGAGCTGTGGATTACCAACCAAGGCTTTTTAGGGACTCTGATAATCTCTGTTTTTGTATTTACGTTGATTAGATATCCAATAGAGAAATAGTTGTGAGAGATTCTTCATATTTTTCTTGCCTGGGATTTATTTTCCATGTGGAAATTATGCAGATTGTTAAAAATGTGATCAGGTTTCCACGTTTTGCATAGTTCTTCTGGACTTCCTTACCTGCAGGAGATCCCCCTGGAGCCAAGGAAAACAAAATGACAAATTTTTGCACAATAACAGACGACAAATTGTTGATTGAATGCTGGAAATTCTATGACAGTTCAGAGGAATAAAACAATCTCTTCCTTGTCTGCTTTAGCATAGCACAGTTCAGATCTAAGTTCAGCTGAGGCAAATCCTCAACAGATCTTGTCCCCCCTTACCTACATAAATAGAGCAACCAAGGATCAGATCACCTGATCCTTCTCTGGTCTTCTGCTCCACCTAGTGTCTGACCAAGAATACAACACATGGAGCCACAAAATAGCAGCAATCAAGACACTAACTACATTTATGAGTCCTGATCCAGTTGTCCAGGCCTCTCTGTGCTTTTTAGAATTAATTTTAAGATTTTTGTATTTTGTTTGCAAGTCTTTACTTTAAATGGTTTGACTCCAAATTTCCTCTCTGAGCCTCTCCACCCCTCTGCTCCCACTTGGTGCTGCTGCTCCTGGAGGTACTGCTCCAAAATTGTTGAATGAGCTCCTCCTCAAAACAGTATAAGGCTCTCTTTGTTTATGTGTTTTGTGTTTTTTTTTCATTGTGTTTTTTTTTATTTGATTTTGTTGAACTTAAATCATTTATTTTACCTGTTTTATTTCAAACTGTTGTCTTTTTTCAATACCATTTCTTCCGTTGGTTTGTGCAGCACTCTGTGGCAGCAGCTGTGGTAGTTTTAAAGGGCTCTATAAATAAACTTAAGTTGAACTGAGTTTTACACAAACTTATTTAAGTCATCACCACTGCTGTAAACAAAAAATATATATATTTTTATACACTTAAAAAAAATTTCTTGCCTCATAAGAATCCCATGAAGCAGACCTGCCCAATTTACCCACAGTAGCAGCCATTCAAAATGGCCCTTCCTGGTCAAACACCAGCCGAATGGCAGCACACTTCCCTGAAACTCCCAGCAAAATCCCCTCCAACTTCCAGACCCTGGAGTGACCCCCCTCTCGCAATTTTTTTTTACTCTGACTCCACCCTTTCACTGAATTACAGGGTCTCACCAGGAGATATCGCTGCTCTTTAGATTTTAATCTCCACAAATCATGACAAAAAAATATTTTAGTACAAAGATTGATGTTTAAAAAGGAATTATAGGGGACTAGCCAAGGGCCAATCAAAGAAATTGGGGACATTTTGCTTGACAGTTTACAAACCCTTCCATTAAAGAAAGAAAAACATCAGATGCCAGTAAAATAAATTGAAATTGACAAAGGTAATGACAAATTAAGAATGATAAGAAATGGAAATCATGACAGTGATTTTTAATACAGACAGATAGACAGATAGATGATAGATAGATTTTTTTTATTGTGTTAAACTATGCTTCCCTAAACATAAACTGATATCTTGTAGCCCTTCTTAAACAAATTCAACAAACTTTCATGCTTATAGGAAATGAAAGGATGGTAAAAATGTCTGTGTGCTCAACTATGCGTGCATTTATCAGTTCTGAATGTCCTTGTGAAAGCTTTGTTTAGCCAAAGAAAGACGTCCTTTCATTGGATACACATTGCTGAAATATCTACTGTAAAAGAGAACAAAGAGCACACTGTCAAAAAGAATAGACTGAGGCAAAAAAAAAATAAATAAAGGTAGG